AATGATTAATGAAAGATGAATCTGGGAACAGTACTTCTACTCATTCTACATTAAAACTATTATCAGATAGTTCATTGACAGATTTGCATTTTGCTTTAAAAAGAATCTTTGGTTCACTTACAGATTTGCATATTGTTTTAAAAAGAAGCTTCCTATCATTTGAGATAACGACTCCTGGAACCAGGTAGGCACGTTTTCTGAGCAATTTAAGTATTATGAAGATACTATCAATTTTTATTTTCAGCATGTTTAGCTTTTTTTTACATATCTTTTGAACCTGAGATGGGAGCAAAGAAACAGCATAGAAACATTAGGAAAACATCTGTCTCTGATTTCACTACAAAACTGCTTAAGGAAATAAATCTCTCTTGGGAATTTAAAAATGTTTCATGATTATTTAAAAAAAAAATTATGTCAAGCAACAACTCTAACTTTTCATTTTACTGTAATAAAGGAAAATTGACCTAATGCTTCCATTAGATAACTTCTGGCTACATCATCTAAAAACTACATATTACGTCCACATCTACCATTCTGAGAGTGAAAGTTATTTCATACTAAATACAAGCAGGTTCTTTCCATTCTTGGTCCTCTGTGAAGCATAACTGTACTTAGTAAAAATACTATGGACATCAAATAGATGTGAGAGATATCAAAGGAAAGGCTTTTATTTGGTACCTTGTTCCATCCACTGGCATGAGCAGCTGTCTCTTGTGTGCGCTCCCGATATTCTTGATATGTCACTGGCCTGCAGAAGTTAAATCAACACTGAAAGTTATAAAAGGAAACAAAAGAACAAGAATAAAATAAAATTCTCAGTTTCAGAAGAACAAAATCTTTTCATATGTATTAGAGCAAATAATTTTCGAAGAGCAAATAATTTTCAAGAGCTAATAAGTCTCGCCTTTCAGGACATAAAACACCAGCACCAGACAGGGTCAGGAAGGCGTCGCCTTCTCCTAGTTACACAATTTCATATAATTAATTGGTTAAGTGAATTTCACAATAATTTGATACCCTACAACTTCAAGGACATTAGATAAGCAGGTTCTCTGATACACTACCGAAGTTTCTAAGCTCTCGCATATAATTTTTTATAATCTAAGACTCTGAAGATAAAAAATTCCACTAAGAAACTCACATGTGAGATAGAGGTCAAGGCAGAGTCAAATTCTTACAAACAATACGGACTACGAACCAACACAGACTGCTTGACCACATTAACATCATGTCAGAGCTGACGCCTTCATTTGCAAGAAACAGCACTTTTGATCACAAAAACCTCTTTGCATTTCAGTAGATACCTCTCTTATAGATTTATCACATCTCTGCTTCTCCGAATGGGGATGATGGTATTGCTGTCTTCCATACTCTTTCCTTCAAGATCATACAGTATCTTAGAGCCAGTAGCAATAAAGACCTTCTGCCAAGTGGCACCAGAAGATGTACTGCTTCCAAAGCAGTTGTCTGAGGCAGATCATGACAAAAAGCCAAGTTCAGACTTTGGTTTAAGGGAAATACTGGTAACTGGTACTGGACAGAAGACTGCTTATCTAACTCCAAGAACCTGTCACGATCTACAGCCTGCAATACCACAACATACTTGTTTATATGCATATATAATATAAGCAAAATAAGAAAGTATTGCATCAAGTAGCACTAGTGTAGCAAACATGGGTAAAAGAACAGAGTTAAAGCATATTGGGGAAAATGGAATTTGAATTTGCCACTTTAAGTGCATTCTCTTGACTTCCTCGGTACATTAGTTTCTTTAAAACACAAATCCAAATGAATCAGTGGGATGAGAAGAGCAACAACAGCTGCAGGAAGGATATTATCAAGAGATTAAACAGTAGCTCTCATTTGCCTTATAAAAACGCATGCGTGTCGACACATTTTCACAGGCATTTCAGACTCTGTATGTATATGTATAAATAAAAAAATACTTAGAATGCAAATATTTTCCCAGAGAAAACACAAGAAGCTTAGAACATCAGGCTACTAACAAGTGAGAACCACTTAATTTTCAAAGACCTCATCTCAGGAACTTTTCAAAAACAATCAACCTAGAGCGCCCCAGTTATGACCCCTCAATGTCCGAGTCAGCCAACTACCCAAAACCTTTAACACATTTAAACTGGAAATGCTGTTATTTCAATTTACCATTTTAGACACGCAAAAAGGACGGGTTGCAAGGCTTACTGCTAATTTTCCAACTTGTTGCCAACCTGGATTTTTAGTGTGTAGTGAGGTATTTATCAAAGCCTCAGCTCTCCAGAAGATACCAAGTACAAGTTTTTAAGGCCACGTGGGACAAATGCCTGGCTTGTAAAGGCAGATAAGCTTCTGCCATTCCCAGGGAACACGCTAGCATATCTTTTGCTGTGTAAGGAGAAATCTGTACCCCACATACTCTTTTCTGTGGATAAATAATTGTTAGTTTACACAATACTGAACTTATTTTTTGACCCCATAGAAATGGCAGACAGACACAGACAGTATATATATCAGTTTCTGAAAGTTAAATGTTGAGTTGACAGAGTGTACTTCTCTCTTGGATGACTCATGGAAAAAGAGACAGAAATCTTCCTTTCTCTGGTCAGATGTTAGAAATCCAGGTCAGAGTCACAGAATCATAGGATGGTTTGGGTTAGAAGGGACCTTTAAACATGATGGGCAGGGACATCTTAGAATCATAGAATCGTTTGGGTTGGAAGAGACCTCAAAGATCATCTAGTTCCAACCCTCCTGCCATGGGCAGGGAAATCCTCCACTACACCAAGTTGCCCAAAGCCCCATCCAACCTAGCCTTGAACACCTCTAGGGATGGGGCATCCACAACTTCTCTGGGCAAATCTCGGCAATCTTTCACTACATCAGGTTGCCAAAAGCCCCATCCTACCTGACTTTGAACAGTCAGTTTTAGATTACATCGGTCATATAAAGTTGACCATTAGTTGATGACTAGGGAGCTAGTTAAAGAACAGATGAGCTAGTTAAGGAATCACAGAATGGCTAAGGTTGAAAGACACTGCTGGAGAACATCCTATCTAACCTCCCTGCTCAAACAAGGTCTCCTACAGCAGGCTGCCCAGGACCATGCCCAGATGACTTTTGATTATCTCCACGGATAGAGACTCCACAACCTCTCTGGGCAACCTGTGCCACTACTCAGTCCCTTAACAATAAAAACGAATTTCCTGATGTAAAGAAGTAAAATTTGTAATCGTCCAGAAGTCTGCCATAAAGGCCATTACCTTCGTGAGGGCATGAGATGCCTCTCCAATGCCTGTATGGAAGGCCTAAGCCCCATGCATCAGAAGTTCACATGAGGTGCTGGTGTCTAGGCTTCCCAGACCTTGTTGTTCGAACAGTTCATGAGCAGCTACGCAAACTCTGGAAGAGCAGTAGTGTAGAGATCCTCAGCTTCTTTTGAGCCGTGTTATTTACACCAATCCACAAAACGCAGACTCGGATAGCTATGTGCTAATGCTGCCTTCACAACCGCATTCATCTAACTGTCCCTGAAGCAGCACGTTCCAACTCCAGCTCTCTACAAATACATTTTGGAAGTCACTCGGAACAGCCAGAAGTCGTTCGTGTGGATCCCTTAAAATTAGGCTGGTAATTAGTAATAGAAAAAAAAAAATCAAGCAATCACAACAATTTTACCAATTTGCAAAAGACTTTCATCAAGATACTAGCACGCCAAGAAAACAGGCTATTTAAACAATAAGCTTAAACTGGCAAGACAGCTGTTAAGGCACCAAGGTTGGCCCAGGGGCCCACGTTTGCTGCAGATGTGTACCTGAATGGTGGTCATAAAGCATGTAACTATCATCCTTCCAGAGAATCTCTCCCTCTCATCTCGAGCCAGACTACAAACAAACCTTCACCTCCACTCTTAACTACAAGGTAAAATAAATTTATCTGGCTACAGCCCCAGCATTCATGAAATTAGCCATGGCAATGGGCCGCTGCTAGTTTCACCAGCAGCTCACGCTACCTGACAATCTCAGAGGTTCAACAACAAAAGCTTAGAAAAATTCGAGAACTTGCATTACTGCTAAGAGCAAATACCACAAAGAAGTGTTCACACATTACAACACAAAACACAGAAACAGCCAAACAAAGAAACATTGGAAAAGAAGAAATGCAATCCAAAATTCAGTCCCATCTTCAGTGTTTCGGCCGCAGACACAATGCAAAAGGAAACATCTTGCCTTTGAAAAAGCCAACAGAAACTCACTTGCTGAGCAAGCTCTGCAGAGCTTTGTGCAGATGTTCTTTCAATTCCTGGGACACTTTCTCCCCCAGATGAGCCAGGCAGTCTTCTATCGAGCTCTCCGGATTGGCAGGACTGAACACTGGGGAAGTGTGGCAGTCAAATCCTGTAGTGGTAAATGCTGAGAGAAAAAAGCACACAATGATTCTATGATTCTAAGTTTAAGTTTAAAATAAAATAAAATAGATTCATGTAACAACATCAACAGTCTCACATTTCATATGCCATCAGTTAACACGGTTTACATGAGGGATGAAGAAATCATAACTCCATAGTCGAAACATGCTATGGTCCAAACATGTTCTGGAGGTGGTACTTACAAGCCATAGATGACTGAGTTGCATTCCCCTCCAGCTCTTATTTCACAACTGCATCCTAACCAGCCAATTAGCTGAACGTGCAACTATCCTCAATTTTAAGCTGATGCCAACCTTGATGGAGCAGCAAGAGACTTTTCCATTGTAAAATTTGCCCACACTGGGACATATCTGCAGCAGTTCTAGAGTATCACTTTTTAAAACAACATTTCGTTCATATAACCTTTTCCTTCTTAGTTTAAAACTTCTAAGAAAGTTCTATATGGATGAACGTAAACAGATCTCGAGCTTTTCTACTTCAGATTTCCTGTTTGCACCACACATGCAAAGCAAAGTTTCCAAATCATTCCTTGGTGGGAGTCCTATGAAAGCCCCATCTACAGATCAAAGCATGTCACAAAAAATAAACCTGGTAGAAGTGAGAAATCTGATGGTTTAAGTCCATGCTCCTCAAACGGTAGCTGCTGAGGGATGATTTCACCTCTGTCGTCAACTGGAGGGCTGCTTACATGTCAGTATTTATAGTAGCCCATTAAATGTCACTCAATTGTTTGCTTTGGCTGGACTCCACCACTCCAAATGGCAACGTTTAACCATTTTACTTCCTGTGACCATGTGTAGAAAGCTTGTGGGGGGAGGAAGGTAAAGAGATTCAGTGTGCCCAAAAATCACCTTGACTAGAGTAACCACCATTATAGTGCATAGAGATTATGGATTGAAATGGGAAAATCTGAAGAGCACCTTCCAAGATTTCTTCATCAAGATGTTTTAGCTCCTCCTCGATTTCTAATTTAATCTTCTCCAAAGCCTCTTTCTCCAATGCATGTTGTGCTATAAGCTGTTGTTGAGTCCCTAAGAGAAATCAGAGAAATTATTCAAAGGTAGTATTCCAAACAAGGTTGACAATGGAAGATGTTATTGAAATATTAACTATTAAGGAATTCAAGGTGAGAGTTCTATTTCAGACAGTAAAATAAAAAGTATGATCTCTTAAGGGCACTGACTATAAAAGTTTTATTACCAGAAACTCAAACTTCCAGGCCTATTCAAGACAGAAAAGATACTTAAAATATGAATACATTAAAAAAAAAAAAAGAACTGTAAAGCCACAAACAGAATAAATTTAAGATGTTTGTTTTTAAAGCTTTTAAGACCAAATCAAGCCAAGGCACATAAGCAAGCAGTCATTAAAACTAACACACCAGTGATCAATCTACACCAAAACAAAGCAGACATAGGCAGAAGCTTGATTTTTAGTAGCAAAATATAAAATTGATACTGATGCCTGCAAAACCTACAAAAATACTTAGAGCAACTATATAATGACATCAAAAAGTCCAGAAATCTATTAACTGTATATCATTTTGCTCTTCATGAGGAGCCCAGAGGCCACAAAGAAATAGTTTAAGACTGGGTTCACCAGTAACAACAGAGGCAAAGGACCACACAATTGTCAGTCAACTGTCAATTTTCATCTCCTAATCAAGTCATTTAGGAACTCTGCATACCCCCAGAAGTACAAATGCCGTGGTTTGGGATCACCAATACATATTCCACATGCTGACTCCAGATATTTGGTAAGCGGAAGTTGTTTCAGCTGTATCATTCAGGCTTTCACAGACTTTCAATCATCTTAATTATTACATTGTAGCAAAATAGAGACATGAAACTGTTTCCAAATAAGCCAAGGTATTTAGAACATTGAAATCTTTAAGAAACTGCCTGCTGAATGTCAACCTTTCCAGTATAAGGCCATATGGCAAGGTCGCTACTCAAGTACCTGTTTTATGGGATAGGTACTAATGGAAAAACTAGATGCCTGGGACAGAGTTTCAGCTCAAAACTCTTGCTGTTTAGCTGCTTTTTCCTTGAGTTTGCTCAACTTTATTTCTTCCATCAGCTTTCAAGCATGTCTTCAAATCTCATTCTTAAAGCACACTCAAACACTGTTCCGTTAGCTGCTGTCTTATTTTCACCAAACATCACTGAACCGACAGCCTACCACTGAAATTTTCTTCTTCCTTTCTTTCAATTCCTTAAAATGTCCTACTTAGAGATAAAATGGATCTCTTATAGCCACAGGAATGTAAAAGGGAAATTTCGTATCAACTTACTCCTGAAGTGAATAAATAAACAAATGCAAGTGGCCACAAAACTTCCCTCTGCTAAATAATCCCACTTGTAGCCATTTCCTTCCCTAAGTTTTGGGTCAATCATCAGTCTTCATTAGCCCTGCACTCTGCTACTGTCGACGGTATCAGTGACTGGGTTACTCAAAACATTTTCTTAGCTCTCTTACTTCTGAATATTCCTTACAAATTCTTTTTGGGACCTCCTGTTCTCTCGTGCCCGTGATTTAACCATGACCTCCTGGCCGACCTGATAACATTGCCCATGTCCACTGTTTCTTACTTGTGCACCCAAATACTGATGACTCTCCAACTTGTCTCACCCTTGCAGGACCTACACCAACTGCCTACAGGTCTCCCTGGGCATCTAGACATCGTTCCGCTCTACCAACATGCTCCACTCAGTTGAAAATAAAAAGGGAATGGATTTGTATCTGTGATGTTGGTGTCATCTGACTGCATTTCTTCCTCATCGCTTATACTTCACGTCCAAATCTCCAGGTAAGTCCTGCCACACCCAGTGCAGCTTTCTGGCATGTCTTTCTTCATTCCTGTTTTGAAGACACTAAATCATAATTTGGTGGTCTGATGAACAACAGCCTGTTTTCTTCGGTTCACCTCTCCTGAAATCTGCTTGAACTCACTTTAAGTGTTGCATTGCCTTCCCCTTTCCTCCACAATGCACACATAGCTTCACTGGTCTTCCTGTCAGAGTGTGTGAAAACCATAAAAGCAATGATACTGGTTAACACACACAGATGTTTAGTAAAGTACACTGTGCATTTTCTGTATTTAAAAAAACCACTAGACAATAAGCTTGCAAGGTCTCCTACATTTGAAAAATAAGTTAAAAATCCACTGAATGTGGCTCAACACATACCTGTAAGACAAAAATCTTACTAAACTTATGTACAAGTCAGTGTAAAGTGTTCACCTTTATTTATGTGAACAGTTTAAAGGAACAACAGCCAGTTTAATTCCATTTTACTTAACCACACACTTAGATCATCATGGCTGTGTTCAGAATAACTTTACTTAGCTTCTAAAATCCCTTCTCAAACGGTCTCTCTTCAGCACTCTGAAAAATAAATTCCAGAGAGGAGCAAATGGTCCCTCCTTCTGGTTAATGAGCAGACACTGACTAATGCCTTGTCAGTCCCGTTAAGGTCTCCTCTCGTGAACGACCAAACCACTGCTTCACACTCAAGTGCAACAAGCATATGCAAGTACCAACTCTTCTTTGAACCTGTGCTTCACCCTCTATATGGAAGGGTTGAGGCTGTTGAGAAGAGCACCCGTTCTCATGGGACTAATGTGATGATGATCACACATGACAAGCTGTCATACTCGATAATAAGTCACCCAGAAAATGGAAGGAAGAGAAATTCCATTGCTGCCAGCGTACAAAAGAGCTGTTTAGATAATCAGTGCTGCAGTCAATGGTTTCCATCTCGTAACACCCACCACTTTGCAGCAGCTGCTGATTCCAACAGCACCTGACTATTCGGTCGTGCCAAAACATCTCAAAAAACTGCCCCTCCCAGACCAGAGGCTTTGCACTGTTTATTCCCCTAATTATCGATGGACTTCAGCTTTCTGCATCTCCTGTATGTTGACCTCTGTCAACAAAAATTGCACTCAATGTTGGAGAACAGCGTATTCCAACAGCGCAGGTCCAAAGCGAACCTTGTTCTCCTGGACACAACCTCCAAGTCAGTTTGCAATTAGGTAGAATAAAACAGTAAGAATAGCTTCTAGGAGACAAGAACATAATTTTTATTGTTTAATAATGTAAATGGTGGCATCAGAAAGGGTCTTTGTAAGAAGATCCATAAACACTGAACGCTTTCCTAGGCTGAAAAAATGGGTTAGCCTACTGTGGGCTTTTGGCAAACTGACTCTGAAAGGCCTCTTCCCAACACAAAGACACAACAAACCTCTGTTACACAGTCTTACACAGAGGTCAGTGCATTCTACTTTGCTTTATGGAATAAATATTCCCTTTTACACAAGCGTGTTCTGGTTAAGATTCTGTTTTTCAGTTATTTGGAGGTAAGCTGCAAAGTAGGGGAAAACATATTCTAGAAGTCCATCAAGCACTATGTCACCGACAATCAGACACTGTTACGACTACTAAATAAATGTCTTTCTTCAGTAAAACGCCACCAATAAGGCCATTCCAGAAGTTCAGTAACAAGACTAACCCGTTGCCCAGGTTTGATCCCAGGAAGAGGGATGAAAAGTCATTCATCAGAGTTAGAAAGCCTGCACATCTGATTGTACAGTGTTTGTGTCAAACCATGGCTAACAGAGACAACAGCAACTACAAAGAGACACTGAAATGGTGTTAGGCATTTTTAGTTCAAGTGAATGCAGGGTGAATGAAAAAAAGCTATTGATGCCACAGCTTGCTTTTTTTTCTTTCATGCTTGTAATTTTGTCTTGTGTTTTCAAGTTCTCCTAGGTCTCTTCAAATTCTGTATAGTCAACATTGACCTAAAAGTTTACTTTCAGCATGATTTTAGTATTTAACATCTCAGACTTTTTTAAAAAATAAGTAAGCATCTAAAATTTCTGGAAGCACTGAAAGCGACAAAAAGATACAAAAACCTCTTTACAAACGTCATCATGTTTCCTTTAATGAAAAGCATATCCATTACCCCAGCAAACTCCAGAGCAGTCTGCCATACATAGATGTGGCCCTTGATTTGAGAAATGTTTAAAAGCAGCTGTTCATAAACTATAAGAAGGCTCAGCTTAAAAGAAACTAAAAAACCAAAATATTAAGAACCAAAAAGAGACAAGACACTGCCAACTAGCAGTCAGTTTTTTTTGTGGGCAGAGAGGAGGCTTAATTAAGTGGAAATTCACATTCCTGGAGGGACTACCTCTTACTTTTTCCACTCACACCCCAAAAACTCCCTTTTCTTGCCTCAGTTCAGGAAATAGCTCCTTCATTACTACAAACTGGATTGGTCTGACCTACAACATGTACTTTTTCGGCCCGTGACTTTTCAGCTAAAGTAGGTATGTTTTGCCCTAAGAGGAAAGTTTCTCAAGAATGAGTTATTCATCTAAGCTAAAACCACCTCAAAAAACTCCTTCATCTCCTACCGTCCAACAGTAGGCACTATGAAGGGGAATGGAATTACCAGGGAAATGGAATACAAAGAAATACGAGATGTTCTGCAACAGCCAGGCCATGTGTCACCTGAGGGCAGAAAATCTAGCAACAACAGGTATCCAACTCATACAACCATCAAAACAATAGAAAAGAGGTACTAGTGTTAGATTTGGGAAGGCCACTAAGGAGTCTTGGGCTCACCCATAATCATAGAATCACAAAATGGTTTGGGTTGGAAGGCACCTCAAAGATCATCTAGTTCCAACCCCCCTGCCATGGGCAGGGACACCCTCCACTACACCAGGTTGCTCAAAGCCTCATCCAACCTGGCCTGGAACACTTCCAGGGATGGGGCAGCCACAACTTCTCTGGGCAACCTGTGCCAGTGCCTCACCACCCTCTGAGTGAAAAATTTCATCCTTAGATCTGATCTCAATCTCCCCTCTTTCAGTTTATATCCATTGCCCCTTGTCCTGTCACTACACACCCTTGGAAAAAGCCCCTCTCCAGCTTTCCTGTAGCCCCTTTAAATACTGGAAGGCTGCTATAAGATCACCCCAGAGCCTTCTCTTCTCCTGGCTGAACAGCCCCAACTCTCT